AGCATTTGCCTATTGTGCATGGGCCCTGGATTCCATTCCCAGCACTGCAAAGAAAAAAAACAAAAACAATTTCACCAAATCAAATGAGTCATCTATGAAGGGGTATATGGTGAGGGGGGGAGGGCTGGAAATACTAATGAACTAAAAAAATAGGAATATAAATTCAAGTCAGTCTGGTATTATTATTATTTGTTAGGTACCAGGGTTGAACCTAGGGGTGCTTAACCACTGAGCCACATCCCCAGCCCCTTTTAATTTTTTTTATTTTGTGAAAGGGTCTCTACTAAATTGCAGAGACTGGCCTTGAACTTGTGATTCTCCTGCCTCAGGCTCTTGAGTCCATGGGATTATGCCCCCACTGCCACCCGCCTAGCATCAGTCTAGTTTTAGTAGTTACATTGTAAACCCAAAATTGCCTAGCTGTAAATGCAAGTATGTTGGGATTTTTGATTACAGCAAAGCAACTTTGCACACGTTGTTCTCAAGAACACATTGTTCTCAATGGAGGACAAATGAGACACCAGGAGAACTTGGGCTGGGCTGTGTTTATGATATCCCAGGAAGGAGGCGGGATGGAGGTCAGGCTCCCTGAGGCAGATAAGTCCAGCTCTTGTATTAGGCCTTCCACACTGTTGGCCTTTAAAGGTCAAAGAAGAACCCTATACCTCCTGATAATCCATTCTAGCTCAACATTGACAAACGCCTATTTCTGTCTGTGTCACCTTCCTGGGTGTTATAATTTCCTGATGACCTTTAGGGGCCTGTCTGCTAACTGCCCTATATTTTCCTTCTTTCAAGTTTCAGCAAGTTCTCCTTAAATTCTAGTATTTTGAAATTAGCCACCATGCACGGTTTAACCTGCTTTACTCTTAGGATTTTATATGCAAGCTTGGGTCTCCCATTTTGCTAGGAAGGAGTACTAATGCTTTGACTTGCTGCTCGAATAGAGGCCCCAGAGTTCCCCTGGGCATTTCTTATTCTCAAAATGTTATTACCTGTCCCCTGTACAGAACTGGGTGCACACTGATCATGTGGAAGTACCATGGTTTTTGCAGAAGAATGAGACATAGGAATACTATTATCTGGTTTCAAAAAGTAGTCCCCTTCAGGTGGCTATCTTGTTGACCACAGTAGAACTTGCCACCAGAGCATGCCTGGCACACAGCAGCCATTCACAAACAATTGTGAAGTGAATGTCTCTTGGTTTCAGCTTCATGGTGACATATAAGCATGTGTATACATATACACGCATATACATAAGAAATAGCACAAAGAAAGCCTTCAGAATCAACACTTCAGTATTTTTCCCTCTGAAGGAGTCTTTGACACTGGTTCTTTCATATCCGTTATAATCAGTCTAAAATATAACTACAGCAGCACCTCTTAATTGGTGCTCCTGCATTTAAGATCTTAACCCTCCAATCTGTCACCTGGACATATTCTTCTACCATTATTTCCAGCATTTTGATGTCCATTGGCTGACAGCTTATGATTCACATTCATCTTTCTGCTACTCTGATCTCATCTGGCCTTCCCCATGCACAGACCTCTACCTGTTCCTGCTATCCCAGGGCCATTTTGCAGTCTGGCATTTGAGACCCATGGCTGTACCCTGTGAATCTTGCCTCCCGTGACTCACCCCACTGACTCCCTGTTCTGTACAGCTTTGCCTCCTTGGCATCCCCCAAACACATCTGCCTGCATATTCATCATCCTTTTCCCTTTGTTCCAGTTTCCCAGATTCCACACAACTGTCAGGGTTCAGCTGCAGGAGATGTTTTCCATCCGTTTGGTGGGCTCCAACACTGTGGCTTTAGAGAAACAGGATGACTCTAGCCCTGTGCCAGATGCTAAGACATGAAAACTTTGAAAACACAAGGTTCCCAGAAAGTGGGGAAGCTATCAAGGCCTCCCAGCAGCCAGCTGCAAAGGACAGGCAGTCACACAGCAGCTCTTGTCATGTTCTCATTCTCTCTGGCTTACAGACATTATTTGATTAATATTACAATCTCAGGTGATTTATTTATATCCCAATTGAACATATTTGCTTTTAAAAATGTCTCACGATCTGGAGCCATGAAAGCTGGTATAACAAATACTTCCACTGGTGGCCAGATCTGCCCAGGGCTGAATCTGCACATGATCTGGCTGGTGAAAAGCCAGTGTCACACATTGACTGGAGGAGAGTGTTTTATCCATTTTCCTAGTGAAGTCATGTTACTTACATTTTATCATTCATTTGATACAAAACAGCGTTGCTTATTTATTTGTTTTTGTGCCAGGGATTGAACCCAGAGCACTTAACCACTGAGCCACATCCCCAAAAACTTTTTTATTTTTAATTTTTTAAAATTTTATTTTGATGCAGGGTCTTGCTAAGTTGCTGAGGCTGACCTCGAACTGGGGATCCTCCTGCCTTAGCCTCCTGTGTCACTGGGATTACAGGCATGTGCCACCACATCCAGGGCTCTTCTTGGTTTTAACTAAATACAAGGGAATGTCCATTGTAGGGGATTCTGCAAATGACAAAGCCTAAAACAATGTTTCCTTCCTCTCCAAATCTGTAAAGACACTGGGATACAGTAGACCCAAATGTCATTTGGCAATCACAGCAGAAGCATGTTCTCAGGTGGTAGCAAAAACAGGCTCCACTTTCTCCTATTAGACAGGCTGTGGGGTGCTGACTGTGGTCCAGGCAGAGGCCCCACCCATGCCAGATCTTTACTGGGTTCAAAGGAAAGGTTTGGATGCAGCAGGCAGCAAGAAGGTTCTATAGTATCCCCTAGAGGGAAAGGAGAGGGGGAGCTGAACTGCTGAGCTAATTGGCACCTCGGGATGCCAAATCCAGGGAAAAGGGAAAGAAAAGCAAAGAGGAACAGAGGGAATACACTTACTGGCACACCAGAGCCCTGTTTCTTGATTTGATATATTTCTGATTGCAAGAGCACTCAATGATATACACACACACACACACACACACACAAACACACATTTTATATGTGATATAAAATGATATCATATATAAAATGGGTTGGAAAGATGTTTTTCAACTAGACAAGAATTCCACAAGCACTTGCATAAAAATTTAAAATGGCATAACATCTCAATATGGAGATGATGGACAATTTGAGATATATCCTTATCACAGAATGTTATGTAGTCATAAAAAATAATATAAGTTTATAGAATTGAGGCAAGAGATTTTTACCAAGTATTATTATATGAAGAATGAGGAATGCCCTGGATGTGGTGGCACATGCCTGTAATCCCAGTGACATAGGAGGCTAGGGCAGGAGGATCCCCAGTTCGAGGCCAGCCTCAGCAACTTAGCAAGACCCTGCATCAAAATAAAATTAAAAAAAAATAAAATAAAAAATAAAAAAGTTTTGGGGATGTGGCTCAGTGGTTAAGTGCTCTGGGTTCAATCCCTGGCACAAAACCAAAAATTTTTAAAAATCCATTTTTTAAAACCTATGTGTGTATTAAAAGCAAACAAACACATCAGTGTAAACAACATTAGAAACTGAATGGATAAGAATGAGAAACAGGAGAGGAAGAGGGTGACTGGAAATAAAACAAAACAAAAACAATGAAAAATAACAGGCTCTCCAATAAAAAACAATAATTATATAAAGTTATATATATGCACATATTTAAAATCCAAATTGGAGGTGTGTTAGTGCATCTCAGGGTAAATATTTCACGTATTTTTATACTTTTTCTTATACTTGCCTACATTTTAATGTGATTATAAACATTATGTAATCAGAATTATTTTCAGCAAGAAAAAAATGTAAGTGATTAAAACATTGACAGCATAAAAATGTTTCTTAAGTCTTCCTGGTCAAAACACAATCCACTAGTAGAGTTTTGCAACATTCATGACCAAAAGAGGTTTTTGCAATCATTTTCAAAATGGAGAAAAACCGAAGTTCAAAATTAATAATGGTCATACGTATTTTAAGCATCTTGAAATTAGGGTCTAAAATCTAATTTTTAATGCTTTTCCAACAGCTTAGCACATACACAGTGCTCAATCAATTCTCGTTAATTGACAAGCACATGTCAAATCACATGAATTATTATATCAAAGATGTTATTATTTGATACACAAATGCTATTAAGAGTAAAATCTCATCTAAAAAATAATATGAGAGCCAGAGCAGGTTTGATGAAAATGACTTAAATATGAAATTTAATCTGTCACAAAAACAGTAATAAAACTAATACATAACAATTTTTTTCCTCCTGCTCTGGTTATACTAAATGCACCTAGCTGGGTGCAGTAGTGCACATTTGTAATCAGCGCAACTTGGGAGGTTAAGAAGGATCGCGAGTTCAAGACCAACCTTGGCAACTTGGCCAGACTGTCTCAAAATAAAACATAAAAATAGCTGGGGATGTAGCTCAGTGGTAAAGTACCCCTGGGTTCAATCCCTAGCACTATAAAAAAATGGAAAAAGAAAAAGAAATATGTAGTATTCAGCTTTGTTACCTGTGTTTCTGTAGTCTCAGGGCTGTATGTTATCTACATACTCCATGACAACTGAATACCACGAATTTCTGCTTATTATTGTGGATATGAGAGTTATGACATTAGCTACCAAGCATAAACAATCATAAACAATTTCTAGGCCAGGCCCATCTTCAAAACACTAAACTGCCGTTACAGTTCTGACTATAAGAAGCAACTGTCTTGCAGAAAAGCGCAGCTTTTCATTCTTCCAGGGCTGCTCTCTTTGCAGGGCAGTAGAAATGGATGTCCCCCAGCTGGATGGAGAGCTGCCTTGTGAAAAGCTACGGAGTACCCTCAACAGGGCAATTTGGCACCAAGATCACCCAGGGCAGAGGTGGAGCAGGGGCTACTGCCCTTGATCCTTGAGGCCTGGGACCTCCACTGCTGTAGGAACTTCTCATCTGCAATTCTGTGAAATGGCAAGTACTATTAGGCAGCACAAAACTAATTTTATACATCCAATCTTTTCAAGTAAAATACTTACCTGGACTAACAAGTGGCCTGAATTAGGCAAACACGTCTCACATTTCTTGGTGTTCTCCTTTATTTGCTTTACCAAATTTGTCAATATTTCTACAGCACCTTTGCTGATCATTTCATTAAGAAATCTTGGATTTCCGGAAATGAATTTAATAGTCCCCATACAGTATAAAAAAGCTTCACTGTTAGTTTGCAGATCTTCACTTCTCAGTACCTCTAATAATGATTCTGACAAAAAGATGAATTATTATAAATGTCTGAGTATAACAGCTTGAGAGAAATACATTAAAGCACTTGTTTGTGAACATCAAATACAATTTGTGAGCTATATTTGTCCAAAGGTACATGTAAATGCTTGTTAAGAGTCACTCAAGTAAAAAGAGCTTACTTTTAGCTACAACAGATCTCTGTAATAGTAATGATGGCAAAAGGGTAGACTTACTAATACATAAATAAGAAGCTATTCTTTTGGGCTGGGGTTGTGGCTCACTGGTAGAGCGCTTGCCTTGCACATGTGAGGCCCTGGGTTTGATCCTCAGTACCACATAAAAAAATAAATAAAGACTTTTTTAAAAAAGCTATTTCTTTTAATCAAATGCCACTCCTTACCTCTTACTAGTATTTACCAGTCTTAATTTTTAGTTACAAAAATTTCAGGTTATTATAGAATACTAATAATCAAAGTATTTTATTTATTTACTGGGTACTAGAGATTGAAACAGGAGGTGGGAGGCTTTACCACTGAGCTATATCCCCAACCCTTTTAAAAAAACTTTTAAATTTTGAGACAGGGTCTTGATAAATTTCTGAGACTGGTCTCAAACTTGTGATCATCCAGCCTCAGCCTCAGAAATTGCTGGGATTACAGGCCAGTGCCATCACACCCAGCATTAACTCTTAAAGCATTTTAAGAGTTTGACTGTTTTGGGTACAGTGGTGCACGCCTGTAATTCCAGTGCCTTGGGAAGCTGAGGCAGGAGGATTGCAAGTTCAAGGCCAGCCTCAGCAACTTAATGAGACCCTGTCTCAAAATAAGAAATAGAAAGAGCTGGGGATGCACCCCTGGGTTTAATCCCCGTTACCAAGAGTTAGATATCAACAAACCTTGAAGGTTTTTTTTTTTTTTTTTGCTGTATTAAGGGAAAATAAGTCAAGAGAGGAGCTTAAACTCAATCACACTAGAAAGGGATAAGTTGAATATAACATCCACGCTTTCCCAAAACAATTAAAGAACCTTCATCCAAATGACATACAACTATGGGTTTTATGAGAAATCCAGGAACTCTAGTAAGGGTAATTATGCATATCTCATATTTAAATTGCTAAGGCTGGCTATGAACTTGCAGTCCTCCTCATAGTTACATTTCTTAATGTCTGTGTGATCATTGTCATATTTGTTTTCAGCTGACACTTCTCAGTTAGCTGATTCAGTGCTAGACATTTCTTTCTGCACTGGTTATGTCCCAGTCCTCTTGGGCTACAAAAGATATTAAGATCATTTATCCTGTGTTACCAAAAGAGGACTGAGAGTGTTTTCCATGTTACTGCCTTCTCCTATACCAGCAACATTAATTCATAAAATATTTCCATTTATATAACTAAACATCTTAAGAGGTGTGTCAAGAATTAGGCATTATTAGTTCGGTAGTCAGAATGTAATAAAACTCCACCTACATATTTGATTTTTTCTTCAATACTGGGGATTGAATCCAGAAGCAACTCTATCACTGAGCTACATCCCCAACTCTTTTTATTTTTTATTTTGAGACAGGGTCTCATTAAATTGTTGAGGCTGGCCTTAAACTTGCAATCCTCCTACCTCAGCCTCCCAAATTACTGGGATTACAGGTGTGCACCATCACACCTGGCTCACATTTGAAATATTTTGGTGTCAGATTTCTATAATACTTACAGATGTCTTTTAATTTTAGTCATTTCTACTAGATCAAAAGACTAAAATTTTCAATTTTGAAAAAAAAATTAAAAATTTTTAATTATGCCAAAAACTATTGTGTTTTTTCTAATAGTGAATCCATGTCCCAGAGATGGATTTTCAAATGCTTCTTTGTAAACTCACATTGTATTACTATAAGTATTTATAAAACAAAAACAAAAACTTGTCTCTCATACTAGACTCCAAATGATACATTAAACAGAATGTGGAAAACTCAGAGAAGGAGGAGCAAAAGTAAACATTATATAACTTCTGCATGTTACTGGAAGACACAACATTCTTGCCATCATTAATTATAACCTTTCTCTCCAGATGGTTCATTTGTGCTGTTCATTTGCTTAACTGTGGCACTGAATGATACTCACCTAGGATGTTGTCATTTTGAATCAGCGAATCGTTCTTCTCATTCCTGCTAATTTTAAATATAAGTTTGCAGACATTAAGTAGATTCTTTCTACTCACTTTTAGCTGCAGAGAAAGAAAAACACTTCCGTTTCTATTGCGGAGAGAAATAAAGATCTGGCATATTCTTAAAAACACAAACTTCTCTATTAAAAGCCTAGCAAGATCATTTTTAAACATAAACATTCTGAAGAAATCAAACTTTAAAAAGTTTAGTTTAAATATTTGCCAACTATGGTATCTAATTAATTCAGTTATACTAAATACAATACAAATGATCTTTTGAGTAAGAACATTTTAATAACAAGCATTTCTTTCTTACCTCATAATGTCAAATTGATATCTAAAGTTATTACTTACTTTTAAAAGAATATAGGAAAAAGGCATATAATTTAACAAATTTAATTAAATGGCAAAACTGATTTAAAACACAAAAGCAAAGGATGATGAATGCCAAAATTTCAGATTAAACTATTTTTGAAAAGAATCCATAGTGGAAGTGAAGGAAAAAAATAAAGGGAAAAATATGTCCTCTCCATAAATTGCATAAAAGAAAATTTAAAAACTAGTAGTATTTGATTAGATTGTCTATATATTTAATTTTGAGGCTATTTCTGGAATGCTTTGAGATAATTACTGATAAATGAGTTTGAAAATTATCTTCTAAATAAAACAAAAATATCTAAATAAAACACAAGGCAATACAAAAATATACTTCCTTTTTAAAAACATACACACAATAGGGTGACTTGCTGAATCAAATGGTCTAAATCATCTGTGTATTTATCTGAAGTAGTAAGAAATATTAAATATTAGAATCATCAACATTATTAATAATTATTAATATTATAATTATTGTATTATATTTTCATATATTATGAATTATAAATATTTATAGATTATAACTATAAATATAATACATTGCTTTATAATTATATATTATAATTCTATAATATTATAATTCTATAATATTATAATTGTTATGATTATTAATATTATATAATTAATTATTAATATTATTAATATTAAAATTCTAAATGTCCAATATTAGGGAAGAGTCTAATGAACTGTGGAACTGTAATATTATTCTTATTAGGCAGTTGCAAAACAGTGTAACCACAAATGTTATGCTTAAAACAGAAAAGCATCTAGAACCCACTATTAGATTGGGAATATCAAGTACTTTCATTGCAACAAAGTAAAAATGTAGGAACGAGGTCATCTAATCAAAAAAAATTTCCATGTGAAAAGGATACATAAAGGTCATTATTTGACTATTAAAAGCTATTTTTAATATTGTTAATTAATAAGTTCCAGTTAGTTTTTTTTTTAATATTTCCAGAAATATTTGTTAAGGATTTGTTCTGTTTGGCCACCAAGTGTCTCCTGAGTGCTTTCTGTGTGCCAGGTGCTGTACTGTTTGCTGATGGAGACGGCAAAAAGCATGCTGTCAGTCTCAGGCCAGAGGAGCAAAGGGAGTGGAGCATGGCCCATCTGTCACTGGCCCCTGCCCCTCCAACCCTAGGCTCTTTTCATAAGTTACCTCACAGATATTCTGCATGAGAGGTGTTGCCATTCCCATTTTTCAGCTGAAGAGTGTGTGCTTGGACAGACCACAGGACCTGGGCATGCACTAGGAAGATAGGCTCTCAGGTCCCACCAGCCCTACTGAGTCAGAATCTGCATTCTCAAGGGATTCACATGTGCCTTAAAGTCTGAGAGGCAACATTTAGGAAGCCTTAGAAACCCCAACACATGGAGCCTTCTTGCTCTCAGGCAGAAAAGGAAATGGGAAATTTAAAAAGTATCTATTAGAGCTGGGGATATAGCTCAGGGGTTAAGTGCTTGCCTAGCCTTTGTAAAGTCCTGGGCTCAATGCCTGGCACAGGGGGAAGAGTTATTGAGTAGGTAGGTGTTTAGAACAACATTATTTAAAAACTTAGAAAATAAGCTGACTTAAGAAAACAGAAAAATGTTTCTATATTAATGGAAAAATAGTATATATAAGATTTGGGAATATATTTAAATCAGTTGACTATCTTCTACTAAATTGTGTGTCCTTATGGACAAAACTATGATTTATTTCCTAAGTATGGTATGTAGCATGAATTCCATGTTTAACAAAACTTGTTCAATGAATATAATCACCCCCTACCCACTGTGAGTCTTACATTTTTAGCGAAAAGTGACAAGGAAAAAAAAAAACTGGTTTCAGGGTTTTCATCAAAATAACAACAGGAAGAAGAAGAAGGAGAAGAGGAAGAAGAGGAAGGAGAAGAAGAAGAGGGAAGGGGAGAGGGAGGAGAAAAGAAAAGATAAAGCCAGTGTGGTGGTGCTTGCCTGTAATCCCAGTGGCCTGGGAGGGTAAGGCAGGAGGATCCAGAGTTCAAAGCCAGCCTCAGCAACTTATTGAGGCCCTAAACAACTCAGTGAGACCCAGTCTCTAAAAAAAATACAAAAAAGGGCTGCAGGAGTTGCTCAGTGGTTAAGCACCCCTGGGTTCAATCCCAAGTGCCAAAAAAAAAAAGAAAGAAAGGAAAGGAAAGAAAGATACACATAATTTCCAGGCCTAGTATATAGCTTAGGTCAATTTACATGCAAAGCAAATTCTTATAACTTCTCTATTGATAACTGAAAAATTATGACTTTAAGACATGAAAAGGTAATAAAATATGTCATTATATGCAAGAATTACAGGCTGCCCCATAACAATCACCACTTTCCATGCCCCTTACTCCCTGTGCTTTGGGGTATCTTCTCCCCACAGTACTTGCTGTGCTCTTTGTACTTGATGCTTCTGCTATTTCCCCTGCTACAGTGCCCACAGGAGTGGGGAAGGCTATTTTATTCATATATTCCAAGTTTTAGGAAGAATTCCTGACAATATAGGTTCTAGTGGCAGGGTAATTTTCTTTTTAAGTTAAAAATAGTAATTTTATTCTATTTAAAGCAAAAGTTGGCAAACTGAACAAAAGTAAGAGAAGTTTAAAATCATCATACTACCACTATATATAATCACAGTTGACACACTGGTATTTCTTTTTTGTTTGCCTAAGGTGATAGATTCTACCCCCAGAATAGAGCTACATTCATACTGTGTATATATTTGTATACTTTAAAACTATCTTAATATAGACTGACATATTTTTGTAAGCTGTTTTGATATAAAGGTTAAAATTAAAATGGCTGTCTGGCAAATCTCCATTGAACCAAAGAATGCAAGAAAACAGAACTAACATTATGCTTGCTCAGTGTTTTTAACTATAAATAACTTTAAATGTCTGAATTATAATACTAAACTGGTAGAGGGAATAAATATTGGCAGGAAGAAAAGAAGCAGTGAAAACTTCATGTTTCATGTATCTTTAGTCTTTGCTGATTTATCTTTTGACATTTCTTTTGATGTGGTCCTTTAAAAATTTACGTAGAACTCCATCACTAAGTCTAATCAGAACAGGATCTTGCCTGTAATGTCATAAGGGATTCAGAAAGTAGATGGGCTGGATGGAAGTTGGACTGGATGGTTTCACAGGTCCCTTCTCACCCAGTAATTCTGTAGTTAAACAGAGGCAAAAGCCACCCAACCCTGGAGTTTGAAATACAGAGTCTTGCCTTCAACCAGCAAGGTGACCACTGTCACCAGGAGGTCATTACCTAATCATATGCCCAGTTCAGAACATGTTCTCTGCCTGTCAGATCATTTAACCTTTTGCCCTTAGAGAGTTAAATTGTGTCCTGTATGTAATCAATTTGAATGACTCATTATTAACCAAGATGAATTTTCTCCAAAGCATTAATGGATTCATGAATGCCTATTTCTTTTCTTTTTTGACCTGGTATGGAACAAGATGTCTAGGAACCAGATGAAAAAGGAAAGGCGAATTCTTAGGCACTGGCAGCCTGGGTCCTTCATAATTTCACATTATGTGAATAACCCAGCATTAACAGAAAGCTTTTACTTTTATGAAACCAGGTTAACAAAGCTTCATTCATTTGTTTTTGCGGCTCTCTTAGAACATTCTATAATAATTGTGGCTTATCTTTTGGTTCCAACTGTTTATGGCTGTGACAACAAAGCACTCCCCTCAAACAATGATAGCATTTTGTTCTAGACAGAGTTCTACAGACTTTTATTTGGTGTCTGGCCTTTTCTTCTAACACTTTACAGGAGCCTTCGATGACCACTGAAGGACTTTCCTGTGACCACACGCAGCTGTTTTCCTCTTTCACACGGTTCATAAAGCACCTGGCCATTATGTCTGTGACCCAAATTACTTTATTTCCTAAATCATATGACAGAATCGAGCAGCCAGTTGAAACCACAGGACAGAGGCCACAGCCTACATGGCTTGATACTGATCTCCAGTCGTTACTTGAGCAACTGTTTTGAATATATTTGCCTATTGTTGCTTTTTTTCTTTTCTTTCTCGATCTTCCTTTTGCTTTCTTTCTTTTAAAAAAAAATATACATATATATATATATATAGTCACATTCCAAATATAAGAGATCTTCGTTTGAACATTGTCTATGTACTCAGCCTTAGTTCCTTAGATAATACTTCCTAGTCAAATTCTGGGATGCCAGTTTATTACTTTTATTTTTTAAGAATCTAAACAAATACATGGCGTTTCTAATATTCTTTGTAATATTTACCAAATAAAAATCATTTCATAAAGTTTGCATGTGCTACAGTCTAGTAGACCAGAGGAAAGAACAACTTACTGCAAGGATAATTTTTGCAAGTTTAAGGCTGAGCAAGTCTGAACCAACATCAACTAGTTTATACAGAGTCTTCAGGAGAATACTTCTTCTCTTAAATTTATTTCCAAGCATGTTTCCTTCTTCTAAAGCGTGATGAAGTTGTGTGCAAGCAGCACAAACTGTTTCAATGTTCTCTTCTGTCAGAGCAAAAGAGAGTAAAGCAACACTTACTAATTAAGGTCAAGTTTTCAGGTGCATCACACACAGCATAAGTGAAAACCCCTCATTTATTTCCCCAGACATCTTCAAGTTCATGAGCTCTATTTCTCCTTTCTTGCCTCACCTCCATTTACTTGATTTTTTTCCATCTCTTTGATCTAGCTCCTACCTTGCTGACTCACTAATCAGTCAATTAACTTATCTAGAATACACAATCTTTCAAAGAGGGTATTAAAGAATGGGATTGCCACCTATTTTAGTTAGTCTCCTTCATTCCAAATGCCCTCCATTGGACCTGTGCTCTGTTCAGTCCCACAGAGGCATGTCACTTGCGCCTCTGTCTTCAACCCTTTCTGGCATAGTTTCACTGGCCTAGAATATTCTTCTTATCCTTGTTCTTATCCATTTTGTCCTTCAAGTCTTTGCGTTTCGGCTCCCCCAGAAACAGTGCCCAATTCCACATTCAACCAACATTACCTGAGGCTTTTATTGATTTTTTTACTTATGTGTGTGTGTGGGGTCATGTTATGTACCTGATGTCTTCAAACAGATGTCATACCAAGTAAGTAGGAACATTGTCTTACGTATCTCTGTATCAAGAGCACTTGGTACCATGAGAATACTGTACAATCTGCAACAATTTCATACATATTCATTTGATAATATATCATTGATAAAAAAAAACAATGATCAATATTTTCCTGTAAGAAAATTGTCATTTGAGAAAAAGGGGCTCTTATAGGACAAAACTTCAAAATGTCACCAAATTTACCATTATTTGAATAGAATAAAAAGATTTTGGTTAGAAAACAGGGAGACCTAGGAACATTTTATTTTATTTTTTAAAGCAGAACAGATGGTTTTATTTTAGACCTTCAGTGAAAGTAAATTAATGTTGTCCCAAGAAAACATGGATCTGAGAATTTCAGATGAATACCTGCTTTACTGCCTGGTATCAAATCCTGTTTGTTTGTTTGTTTTTAACCCTGTCTCTGCAGATTTACCCCCTTTGCTCCAATATACACTCATTACTGTGGGTCTGATCCCCATGTCCACTGCTGGGTTGAACAGCAAAGGAACATTTTATTTTATAATTATGATTCTGAGGAAAATAATTTTTGAAAGTGGCAGCCATAAAAGAGGCATATGAGGAAGAAAAGTATCATACAAAAGGGAACATAAGGAAAAATAAAAGATTGCAAGACATACTAAGGTAGTCAATTGAAAAATATTCTCTCTGATAGATTCCATCACAAAATTTAAAAGTGAGAAACCAATCTTAAATAAATACCATAATGTGCTCTTAGAAGCCCACATAGAGGAAGTGTGTGCCTGCAGAAGGAAATGACTCAGGCCATTTTTAGCTCTTTTCAACAATAACATCTAAGAAAAAATTTTTAAACCTCAATAGCTAAGTAACCTTCAATGCCTTTCAGTTATGCACTTAAATAAATGAATTGATGGGAAATGACTGAGACAGACTTTAAATAAAGGGGAAAATCTGAACTCCATTGTGTGAATACTTTTGTCGCGTTGTTTTATTGTTCTGTGCCTGGCAGTTTCTTCATAAGCCCCAAGTCCAGCGCTGGGTCACTTAGGGGCAATGAGGGGTCCTCAATGTATTTATCTAGCACTTCCCCTTAAATGCTTCAGTCTGCTGGGTTCTATACAAGATGACTTGTTTTAGTTTATTTAAAAAGGAAGGCCCGAGGGCCAAAATTTAAACCACTGATCAAATAAACTCTGTTACCAATTAGTTATAACAGTCACAAATGTCATGCAGCTTCCAAAGACAACTTGAAACTGAGAGCTGAGACTTTCAATGGGCTAAAGGTAGAGGGTGAGAGCTGGACACACAATAGAGGGGAAAATGATCTGAGTTACTTCTCCCCACAAGATACTTATTAATTACCAAGGGGAAAAGAGCAACTTACCAAGGATCAACCTGGCAGTCCCCACCTGACTCAGGTGATCAAAATTCTTATCTCCAGAACAGGAGCAAATCAGTCTTGAAAAGGAGGCAGCACCTTCCTGTGCGATAAGCCTGCCCCCAAAGCCCAACCTGGATCTCACTGTGAGAAAACACCAGTCAAACCCGATTTATGGGACTGTCTATAAAATAAATGGCCTCTATTCCTCTAGTATGTCAAGATGATGAAAGAGACACAACAAATGATTGGAACTTGTGATCCAAGATTTTCTTCTTCTATAAAGGAAATTAGCAAGACAAATGACAAAATCTAGTAAGATTTGTACAGTATTACATGATAATTTTCAGTTATTTAAGAGAACACCCTTATGTCTAAAAACACATGTCAAAGTACTGAGGGACACAGGACATCAGGTTGACAGCTTGTTCTCAAAAGAAAAAATTGATGTGTGTGTGGAAGGGGTAGAGAAAGAGAAAGGGAAGGAAGGAGAGAGTGATAAAGCAAATGTGATAAAATATTAATATTGGGGGACTCTAAGTGAAGAACACATAGAATTTTTTCTTTTTGGTACTGGGGATTAAACCCAGAGGTACTTTACCACAGAAATACTTCTCCATCCATTTTTAAAAATTTTTTTTTTAAATTTTGAGACAGGATATCACTGAATTTGATGAGGCTGACCTTGAACTTGTGATCCTCTTGCCTCATTCTCCCAGGTAGCTGGGATTACAAGTGGGTGCCACCGTACCTGGCCATTTTCCCCCCTACTACTCTTGCAATTTTTCTTTAAGACTGAAATTATGCCAAAAAAAGTTTAAAAAAATCCCAAGGGGTCAAGTAATCCAGCTTTGTCATCATTTGGTGTTATTAAGAGTTGTCTAATTATCAAAAATACAAGTAACAATAAATTTGTTTATTAACAAAATATTGGCTAGGATGTGTGGGAAAAGGTTCACTCACACATTGCTGGTGGGACTGCAAACTAGTGCAACCACTATGGAAAGCAATATGGAGATTCCTCAGAAAGCTTGGCATAGAACCACCATTTGAAGTAGTTATCCCACTCCTTGGTATATACCCAAAGGACTTATATCAGCAGACTGTAGTGACACAGTCACATAAATGTTTATAGCAGCTCAATTAAAAATAGCTAAGCTATGAAACCAATTTAGGTGCCTTCAACAGATGAATGGATTAAGAAAATATGGTATGTATACACAATGGAATATAACTCAGCTATAAAGAAGAATGAAATTATAAGAATTAAATTTGCCAGTAAGTGGATAGAACTGGATACTATAATGCTAAGTGAAATAAGCCACTCCCCCAAAACCAAAGGTTGAATGTTTTCTCTGGTATGTGGATGCTAACACACAATGCGGGTGGTCAGGAAGAATAGAAGTACTTTGGTTTAGACAAAAGAGGATGAAGGGAAGGGAGGTAGGGATGGGAATAGGAAAGACAGTAGAATGAATTGGACAGAACTTTCCTATGTTCACATATGAATACAAAACCAATGAAACACCACATCACGTACAATTGCAAGAATGGAATCCTACTAGAATAAGTTATACTCCATGTATATATAATATGTCAAAATATACTGTCATATATATATCTAAAAAGAACTTAAAAAGTTGTCTAGGGAGAGAGATGACATATTTCAGTGTTTAATGATCCATCTGAGAAAGAAGACTTGTCAACATGTCCAAGTCCCAACTCCTCAGTTGGCATGCTAAATTCTCTGTTGGTGGCAGTGGTAAACAGATCCCTTGGCATCCTTTTAAAATCCTGCAGGCTGACAACCTCCTCCAAGCCAGGTCTTAGTGGTGCTCTTTCCTCAACTGAGTGTTTCTTTTTTAATCCTTACCCAGACCTACTGATCTTCTCACTAGGTTTTGCAATCTCTCAAAAAGGGCCCAAAGTTCACATGTGCAGTAATAGGATGGTGAAAGTTAATAAGTCTAGAACAGAAAAAGTTGTCACATTCATAAGTTTAGGACTTGGAGCTGCAGAGCACTTGAAGACACTACTGCATCTGGAGTTGAGATGAATCCCTGCAGTGGTAACCTAGTTAGTAGCAACCCCAAGGACAGGAACCTGTGCAGGGCTCTCCTATTGCTGTGAACACAGCCTAGCACCCAAAGGGAGCCAGGGAGGGGCGAGTCATTTGAACGTGTAGGCAGCAGGCCTTTGCAGGCCTTCCCTGTCTGTCTGCAGGGGGATCATATACTGTGCTTCTAGAGCCTCTTCCTGTGGCTGCCAATGCTGGCATCCAAGGAGCTTTCAGCCAACAGTTCCTACTAGGAGCCTATGGAGTACTGGGTGCCAAACACTGGGCTTGGCTGTAGACTATGACCACAGCTCCACAGGAATCTTGTTCACCATCAGAAATGGAATCCCTGAGGAGCTGCAAGAGGGAGGCAATGGGAAGCCAAGCCCTGACAAGCTTCTCATCACCTTTTCAGGGACCCATCAAGTGAGGGCCTTCATTCCAGAATGCCAGGGCTGGGGGCATCCCAGGTTACTTCCTGTGCCATGAATGGCATCTCTGACGTATGTACTTAACCTCAGGAGAGAGGATGTGTGCACAGCCAAGAAAACCATGGGCACCACTTGCAGGATGCCAGTCTGAGACTCAAATCAGTTTCAGAGGCCTGAAATCTGTTTTAATCTTTCACTTTCTAGAATATGAACAGTGTCCCTAGAGAGATTAAGCCAGCATTTCCTTGAGCAGAAGTGATCCTAAATTTGTATTATGAGAGGAATTTCGAAGTCAACTCTCTTGGTGCATTTAAAGTATAATTTGCTCACTAACAATTTGGTTTACATGTAGTATTTAATACCCACATTACTGAGGATGACTTCCTTTTTTTTGGGGGGGGGGGGTTGTTTGTTTGTTTTAGGTACCAGGCATTGAACTCAGGGGCACTCAACCACTAAGCCACTTCTCTAGCCCTATTTTGTATTTTATTAGGGACAGGGTCTCACTGAATTGCTTAGCACCTCGCTTTTGCTGAGGCTGGCTTTGAACTCGGATCCTTCTCCCTCAACCACCCAAGCTGCCGGGATCACAGGTGTGTGCTACTGCACCCGGCACTTCATTTGTTTTTGAACAGGTTCACAGAAGATGGTCAAAGTACACTAAAAAATCAGGGTAACAGGGAACATACACATAACCACAGATAATTTTTATTTAAAACAAGAATTTTTTTACCCTTTTCTAATTCATGCAAAATTGGTACGATCCTTGTATTCCAAAAGACTTCATCTACTTCTATTTCGGTATCCTTTTCTTGCAAGTTGGCTTTTGAGACTGCAAAAGAAATGCAGAGTGTGAGAAAGGAGCTGTAATGGAGCATAGTCAAAAGCCTTTCCTATTTATCACTCCAGTTAAAAAGCTACAGAATTAAGTTTCACTTTGCCCCCAACCCAATTAATTCTAATGAGAACTGTAGGTCTTCTAATCAAATCACCTCAAATTAAACTCAGATAATATAAAAAAATGTTAAAATATGATTGGGATAATTCATAAAGCATTAAACTTTGTGAATGATGGTGACTGGTAAGGCAAACTGTTTTGAGTTTTTGTTGTTGTTGTTTAGACATACCCCTCTGCAATACAGAATAGACAAGGATAAATATGTAAAGAACACAATTTCAAGCATATTTCTTCACATGCCTAAAATTCCAGCAATTCAGGAGGCTAAGGCAGGAGGATTGCAAGTTTGAGGCAAGCCTGGGTAACTTAGTGAGACCCTGTTTCTTAAAAAGAAAAAAAAAAAAAAGCTGGGATGTTGCTCAGTGGTAGAGCTCTATTGAAAAATAACAACAACAAAACTGAATAAAGTCTCCAAAAATGCTCAATGAAAAAAATTCTAAAACAAAGATCTGGAAGGACTTTCTTTTCTGTAGAAATTGTATGCTGGTTACCTTCTAAGAAATGGTATGGGGTTATCAGCATTAATGCCAAGTGATTTTGTGTGAGGTAGCAGGAGATGCCTGGGCTTCCCCCTACCCCAACTCCATCATTCATGCATAGGCTGAATGGGGTCTAGTTTGAGCCCCAGTTTCCTCATCAGCAAAACAGAGGTTAGAATATTTAAGTTCAGGGTTATGAAAACCAAAAGACATGATATAGGTAAAGCTCTCAGCCCAATGTCATGCATCTAGCCATACACAATATCTAAGAATTTAATTTCCTTGATTAAACAAACAGGAATTGCTATCTGAATGTGTCACAGATTCGTCATCAAGAACAGATGCTGCCTTGCATATAGGCTCTGGAGAATGATGCTACCCTTGACTGTGCACTTGGCCTCTATTTCATTTTTATAACCACACCATGAAGAGGCCCCAATTTTTCTCTATCATTCAGATGAAGAAAGTAGAACCCAGGGGTATTACGTTATCACCCTAAGGTCATAAGGTCCTTGCACTTGATCTCTAAGATATTCTGCCCCATAGCAGATTAAACTAGACTGCAACCCAACAGACTAAAGGTGACACGGGGTGGGGGGGGGGGGGGAGAAAGGGGTGTAAACCATGTTAAAAACTGAAAGTCATGATTACATTTCACACAGAGTTATCTCAAGATTGAAACACTAGCTATCTAGCTGGAAGGGGCATAGCTACCCAGAGGCCTTCCTGAGAAGGGCTGGAGAACATTACTTAGCCTCTTCTCTGAAGGCTACCCACTAAGCCCATTATGTGGCATCCAGTTTATATTGGGGTCAGGGAGCCCATACACCCTCAGAGTGGACCTGGCAGCAGTTAGGTGTCCAGTCCACACAATGAATGCCTGAACCCTAAAAATATCACATGAAATGTTAGAAATCAGAGGAGCAATAAGAAGGTTCACACACACACACACACACACACACACACACACGTTATTTGTTTGTTGGTTAGTTTGTACTAGAGATTGAACCCAAGGGCTCTTAACCACTGAGCCACATTCCCAGTCCTTTTTTTTTTTTTTTTTTTTTTAATTTTGAGACAGGATTTTGCTAAGTTGTTAGGGTCTCACTAAAGTTGCTGAAGCTGGCTTTGAACTTGCAATCCTCCTGCCTCAGCCTCCCAAGTCACTGGGATTACATGTTTATACCTCTACTCCTGGCTTCAGGTTGTTTTAATTTTTAAAAAAGAAAAGTGGACCAATGTAGACGTAAGAGCACAGTGTCTGGGTTGGAATCCTAGCTCTCCCACCTACTCGCTGGTTGACTTTAGGCAAGTTGCTTCACCTTTCTCTTTAAGATGGGGTAATGATGGTCACCTCTAAGCTTTGGGATTATGGATTATTTATTTCTTTATATGTGCTCTTCTGTATTTTCTAAAACCTCTACTGCCCTTGTATCGCTCTTAGAGAGATACAAATAAACAACACATAGTAAATATACATATATATGTCTTAGTAAATATCTGTATTGTGATTTTCTTAAGAGTTAAAATGAAATTTTCTGAAATAAGAAATCCAAAAATAAAATCCTTTCTCAATTATCTATATAAACAGTAGAAAAATCCATGGATAACCCATAATGGCATGTATTTAAAAAGTTATTTGAATTCAGAGATGTCTAAAATGAATCAAACCATCAAATGAGAAATTTTCCAAGCACATAACACTGATATATCCCAGGAGAAGCAGAGAAGCTGTACAGTGTACTTATTCCACCAACACTCCCCTCCTGCACTGTGTGACAGAAGTAACCATTCCCAGTTACAAGTCCAACTTGCTTTTTATAGACCTTCCAAGTACCAAGAGAGGCCCATACACACTGGGCCCGAGGAGGAGCACTGGGAGCAAAAGTAAACAGAAAGGGCCTCTCAACAAAGCTGTAATTACACAATTAAGGTCCTGTGAATGGTCTATCTAAACCATAAGCAAGACTTCACCATAAAATACAAAGTTGAATTGTCTTCAGGACAAAAATCAGTCCACATCAGTACAGGTTCAGAGTCCTTTATCCAAGACCTTTGGGACCAGGTGTGGTTTGAGAATCAGAAGTGTTTGGGGTTTAGAAAGGCAGTACTAGCTGTGTGCGGTGGCACATGCCTGCAATCCCAGAAATGTGGGAGACTGAGGCAGGAGGATCACAAGTTCAAGGCCAACCTCAGCAATTTAGTGAAAATCAGTCTTTTTAAATATTTATTTATTTTAGTTATAGGTGGACACAGTATCTTTTAATTTTTATGTGGTGCTGAGGATCGAACCCAGTGCCTCACATATGCTAGGTGAGCACGCTACCACTGAGCCACAACCCCAGCCCGTGAAACTCAGGTCTTAAAATAAAAAAAAAATTAAAAATGGCTGGAGATGTAGCTTTCTGGTAGAGTGTCAGTGGGTTCAATGCTCAGTACTAAAAAGAAAAGAAGAAAAGGAAAGGAGGGAGAGCAGAAAGGAAGGAGAGAAAAGGAAGGAAGGAAGAAAAGGGAAGGGAAGAAAAGAGGAGAAGAGAGGGAGGGAAATTAACTGGGCATGGTAGCACAGGCCTGTAATCCCAGCTACTTGGAAGGCCTTCCAGCTTCAGATAAAGTATAATAGACCAATCTTTTGAATCAGTATTTCTATGAGTCTGTCTTAACTTTAATAAGTTATGCATATGGATTCTTAAAGTAAATATGAATATTCAAAGAGTATAAAAAATACAGTCACTCATAGTCCCAGGTAACTAACTTATTTGAAATCCAAAGTACATCAATAAAACCAACATTTATCAAGGCAAGAGAAAAGGCAGAAGACAAATCGATAATAATTAATTTAACACAAACTCATGACACACTTTAATTTACTAGAAATGTATAGTCTTAAAGCCCAATAAATTCAAATCCTCATTTTTACCTTCTATACAGTATGCCTTTTATTTTTGTTGTTGTTTTGTTTGTTTTTGTGGTATTGGGGATTGAACCCACAGGTGCTTTACCAGCTTTTTGAACTACATCCCTAGCTTTTTTCAGTGAAGTTCCTGGTCTGGCCTCGAATTTGTGATCCCCCTACTTCAGCCTCCCAAGTCACTAGGATTACAGGCATGTGCCACTGCAATAAGTTTCTTAATACAACAGTGCCATCAGAAACCATGATCATCAACTTGATTCTCAGAACAGATGAACCTGGTAACATTTTAGCAGATACTGTAGTATAAAGATTCCTCTCCCCCTTTCCTAAGAATCCCTTGTGTGTAGCTGTGTCTGGTTGGGGTCTTTTCACCTCTTCATCCCATGCACCTCCACTCCGCACACTATCCCTGAGCCACTCTAGAAACTGAAGCAGAGAATCGTGATTGCTTTCTAAGACACACATATACAGAAACACACACACATAAAGTTTGTCTCAGTCTTGGGGAACAATTTCATATTTTAGAATGTACTTTTATCTAGGTTCACAGTTTGCTAAATATAAAAATTATGATTCAACAGGAAATTGGGTAAGTCAAGCAAAAATTGCAGCATGTGTTCGAAGATTTTGCTGTCTCAGTGGTTAGAGTTGTTAACCACCACTTTGAGCTCTGGGCACAATAACCTGACACAAAGCTAGGATTGGCTGATTTTTTTAGCATGTAAATGTAAAATCCTTAGCAACAATGTTGTCTCAGCAATCAGATGATTTAAGATCTTCCTGAGTACTAGAGAAATAAATTCCCAATGGCCAAAAAAGTCACTGTATTGATAAACTGGTTTTGAAGATAATTTTTAACCCTATATTGGTTTTATGACATATTCATGTGTACAAAAAATATTAAAAAATATCTGAGGGCTGGGGTTGTGGCTCAGTGGTAGAGTGCTCGCCTGGCATGCTTGAGGCACTGAGTTCAATCCTCAGCACCACATAAATGTAAAATAAAGATATTGTGTCCACTTAAAACTAAAAAACAAATATTTTTTAAAAATACCTGAGTACACACAACTCGTTTGGTTGGATATTAGCATTGTGGCAAATTTTCATCCTTCCTCTTATTTTAAAGGAGTGACACATTTTGGGCATAGTTGAATCCCTCTGTATGCCTCCCCTAGGCCACTCCCCCCTCCCCTCTAGGGCCCCCCCACCATTCTAAATCGGTGGCTATGTTTTCATGATAGGCTTGTCAGGTCTACCACACTGATCTGCAACCCACAATGTATGCCCTTGTTTTTGCACTTTAATTTTTCATCTAATATGTTTGTATTCATTTCACTTGATGCTATAAATATATACTTTTTTCTAACTGCTATATTCCATTACCAGAATACATTTTGTATCATTTTTACTATGTGGCTTGTATGGTTATATATTTTCTCAATTAAACAGTTTAAAAGTCCTCAAGGACTGTCAATTAAACAGTTTAAAAGTCCTCAAGGATTGTCTTAGCACAGCTAATATTTCCTTTAGATGAGTGATTTCAAATTCAAGTTTTAAACCCAAGAACTATGTTGGGTTTAAAGTTTTACAACCATGTTATCAGAAACCATGATTATCAACTTGATTCTCGGGACAAATGAAGCCAATAATATGTTAGCTATTTACATTTTTGTAAATTACATTTTTTACTATGAAATGGTAAGGCTGTCGTGAAAACAATGAAGTCTTATAAATGTTGCTCTGTGACCAAGCCTCATCCAGTGAACCAGCTCGGACATCTTCAGGGCCCACATTTTCCCTTCCAATGGAGATGCCGCCAGATGCAGGGTACCAAGGACCCCTAGCCACAGAAGTACCTCACCTGCTTTGGTTTCCAGCCTGCTCAGGTCGGAGCTGCTAGGGCAAGAGGAAGCCCTGGCGCGCCTCTTCCCCTGGTCCCTAGGAGGAAGCAGAGCACACAAAACACTCAGCTCAAACAGCAAGGCATTTCTATTTTTGTAAACTGGCTTTGCACAGTTTCTAAAGAAACCACAGAGATTTGTTTATAAGATGGGTCTTCATGCTCCATGTCCTGTTTACTTTGACCTTTGATTCCCAACTAAGATTTACCTTGGAAAAACAAGTCAATTTGCTTAACAATATGAAATTCAGTTACTAGAAAGAACCAAAAAATAAATCCAGAGTTTACTTTGCAAATGAAAAAGAATTGATTAAGGATATGGACCACAAGAGGTCACTGTTACAATAAGAAAGAACTCCCGGTGGCTTGGTTCAAAAGCCTAGCTAGGCTTTGGGAGCCGGGAGAGAACTTGTCCCTCTCTATAGACAAGGAAACTGTGTCTCAAACAAGCCCAATGCCCAAGGTCACATAGCAGGGTCAGTTCTGGAATGTGGGTCTCATAATTTCCAAATCACTGTTCTTTCCACTACATCACAGTATGTCCTGTTTCCTTTTTTAAAAAAATAATTAATGTTGTCTAAAAATGTTTTCTTAGAAATATTTTAAATGTTAAAAAACTGAAGGTATATCCAGGCAGTCCCCAGATGACAGATATTTGGGGTTTCAAATACGAGTGGTGGCTGGTCAATGGGACAATAAGCTCAGGTTTTTAAAAGTTATATTTAATGTATGTACTGTCTCTGAAAGATACAACTTCCCTTTATAGCTAATATCTAAATGTACTTTTTAATATCTGTATAAAAGTCCAAGGTAAAAAGTACCGGTAGACTGAGTTCAGATTTTACAACAAAATTTCTTTTGGGTGACTCAGTATAATATTTTCTCCAAAAAAAAAAATGCATCTACATATGGCCATGGTCACCTGTGGACACCTGTGTATGTGTGTCTGATGCTCCTGCTTCCTGTGTAGTGAGATCCCAGGGAACACTCAAGACATGTCGTGGCCCTTAACCTTTATTACTGTCCTGAAGATTGTTCTCCAAATATCATTTTTTCTGTAAACATGTCCTTTTAAAATTATATAACACTTTCTTTTATCATAAAATGGAAAAAAATCAAGCTAATTAAAAAAAACCCTAATTAATCCATACACTGCAATAGTTATTTTTGTACACCATAAAAACAGATCTGGTAGCAAGATGGTCCTAGCCAATCAAAGAAGGCAGAAATAAAGGAATGCAATCCAATGAAAAGGTAAAATAAAAGAGAGTTCAACAGGGTGTAATGTCAAGAAAGCATCCCTATTTATCACTCCTAGAAATAATAAGAAAGTTGGAGAATAAAGGCAAGACTGCTGCCTTCTTCTTTTTAAAATGTATGCCTGCCTTAAACAATTTTTGAAGTCAACCAAGATCATTTTCAACTAATGGACTTTCAAAGTCACTGGTCCACTCTCCCTGAGGTCATGGCCAGTGGTAAGGTGCTTCCATTAAGTATCACATCTGTGTATCCTCATTTCTAGAAAAGGCAAAATAAAGAAGGGTCCTTATTATGTACAAGAACTTGGCAGCACTGTGTCCTATCAGTTCTCAAGAAGAACACAGAATTGGGATGAACTGTCTGATTACCATGGTGGAGTATTCTGCCTGGTTTCAAATCCTTGCTCTATTTTTTTTTTTTTTTTTTTTTTTACTGGGGATTGAACCCAGGGGCACTTTACCACTTAGCCACATCCCCAACCCTTTTTATTTTTTATTTTGAGACAGGATCTCTCTAAATTGCTTAGGGCCTCGCTAAATTGCTGAGGCTAGTCTCAGATTTTCAATCCTCCTGCTTCAGCCTCCCAAATTGCTGGGATTACAGGTAGGTACAACTTTATCAGCATTGTGAACTAGGGAAATTTAGAGAAAGTTTTTGTCATCTGAAAACAAGGGCAATGCCTCCATGTGGTACAGTGACTAGCATGCAAGAAGAACTTACTAAATTGTCGATATTATTTTTCTTTTTCCCTCAGAGTTAATAACCTGTCTGAATAGTCCAGTGCTGTATAAAAACACACAAGGCATTTCCCTGATGAAGTTTAAAATCTACTTTGAGAAACTAAGGAATACATTTTAACATAGAGGTATGCTGAGAGAAAAATGATTAGTAATTTGGAGAAGTAGAATATAAGGTGGGCTTTAAAAGAATTAAAACTGGCCAGGTACAATATATACTTGTAATCCCACCCATTTAGGAGGCTGAGGCAGGAAGATTCAAAATTTGAAGCCAGTCTGGGCAATTTAGTAAAATCCTGTCTCAGAATAACATATAAAGGGCTTGAAATATAGCTCTGTGGTAGACCACTTGCCTAGTATGCATGAGGTCCTGGATTCAATTCCCAGTGGTGAAAAAAAAAAAAAAAATCAGGGGCTGGGGATATAACTCAGTTGGTAGAGTGTCTGCCTCGAATGCACAAGGCCCTGGGTTCAATCCCCAGCACCACAAAAAAAAAAAAAAAAAATCAAACTAGCAAATGACAACACTACTCTCAAAAGAGGAGAAAAGCATGAGTAAACATGAAGAGGGGCATGGGAACCCATACTCAGGGTAGGGGACAACTACACAGAGAGAGCATGGTGGCTACAGAGGTTTCCAATTTTCCATCTACTGGACGAATTGGAAACAGCTTCCTGAAACTTTGTCTTGGGTAATGGACCTAATTTAATGGGCAATATAGAACCGTTAAAATAAGAAACACTGTTAAAATAAGAAAGAACTCTGGTGGCTTAGTTCAAAAGCTTTGGGAGCTGGGAGAGAACTTCATCCCTCTCTACAGACAGGGAAGTGATGGGACCTTGGTTAGGCAATGACAAGAGTACTGAGAGGCTTGGAGAGAGGCAACAAGGTCTATTCTTTTGACAGTGGGCCTGAAAAAGAAGGAACAAAGCTAAGAGATCCCATAAATGAAGAGTTGATAGATGTGATTGATGACTTCAGGCACTAGAAGAATAGAATATAGATCTAGCAGAACAGGATGGGAGGGCTACCGTCAACAGAAAAGGAGATTAGGGAGTAGAATGGTTTGAGGATCAGGCAAGTCTGGATTTTACCTTGTTGAGTTTGTAATGATAAATGGAACATCTGTAAAGGGAATGTGGAAATTTAGAAGGAAGTCTCCAATAAAGATCAAATTGGCACAAAGGGACCAGAGTCATCACAAGAGTGGTTCAAAGACCAAGAGACTGGGGACAAGACCTCATCAGACACTCATGAATAAAGGACAGAAACGGGGGGAAAAGTCCACAAGGAGGGAAATGGCTGGGTGTGGTGGCACCCACTTGTAATCCCAACTACTCAGGAGCTAAGGCAAGAGGATCACAAGTTGGCAATTTAGAAGGATCCTGTCTGAAAATAAAATAAAAAGAGCTGGGGATGTGGCTCAGTGGTAAAGAGCTTGCTTAGCAAGCATGAGGCCCTAGACCACATATCCCCATGTGGTCTAAGCCTGTGACAAAGAGAAATAATTGACAGGTCACAGAATCTTAGAACTGGGAGACAAGGTCCAGTCTGGCCACGGTAGGCCTTCCAAGGTTTCCATGGAACACCACGACTGCAATCTTGTAGTGAGTGAGCAAGGAAGAGAGGCATCAAGAAAAGAAAACCCTCCTTCCCTGAAAAAGGACAGATGGCCTTAAGTCCTCCCACAGAAATCTATCTCCCTCTTGGTACTACTAATGGGAAACAAATCTTCCCCCTGCTTTCTCCTGATAATCCTTCAAATATTTAAAATGTTGCACTCAACATCTAAAGCCACTTCCTGTGGTTTACACCCCATGGTTCCACCATGTATAGCTCAGTGACCTTGGGTAAGATTTTGAGCTAAGCTTGGTTTACTCATCTGTGTATGAAGGGGTAGTAAATAATGGTCCCCTCCAACTCAAACTCCTTATGAGGATTCAATGATATAATATGCAATTCCTTAGCATAGCCCCCAAAGCATGGAAAGTACCCAGTAAATGTTTACTATTCTCATTATTGTCATCACTGTTAACAGACTCCTCCAGCCCTTCAGCTGTCCCCTATAGAATCTGGTTACAAATCTCTGCCAGCCTGTTCTTCAGTGTCTTACTGTGCTTGAGTGTCAGTCTGTCTCTATCTTTTTAAATGTCTGGAACCCAGCTGAGCTAATGATAAGGCATAAGGGGGAAAAAGCAGATATTTGAAATAATGCAGCCTAAAATCCCATTAGCAGTTTTGGTGGTCCCATTGCAGTATCGGTCAATTCTTATCTTTTCTGCAGCGAAGGCAGATGTTCCCCATCCATGTTGGATCTTTACTCATTCTTATTAAATTCCACAATGTTGTACTTGGCAATGGGTTCCTGCCTATCAGATGTTTTTAGATCTTGATTCAGTCATCCAGTATAATTGTTCTTCCCAGCTTCCTGTTCCATGTTATTAAAGATCATAATTAGATTGTACAATGATTTTTTGATGTACCCAAAATATAACAATTCCAGAAATTAGTCCTTAAAGTTCTTCTGTGCAATTCTTCTTAGAGGCAAAACAACACTATTTCATTAGTTAGGATATCTTCATCTACATATAACAAAAACCTAATTCAACTGACTTCAAAAGTAAGTGAAATTTACTGGTTCACGTAACACAAAAATGGACAGAGAGGGTGGGTTTTAGGCATGATGTGATCAGGGCTTTGATCAGGGCCTCTGCAATTCTGTTAGTTCTGCCACTCCCTTAGTTCAGATCATAATCAGGTTGGAGTCCTAATGGAAGCAACATGTGGATTTTATATGACGTTCTGAGGTCTCTCCTCTGCTGCCCTTACATTTCAGGACACAAGCAAGGTCTTCTCCTCCTAGTCATTAACAAGAGTTTGACATGTTTTGCTTTGAACAACCAGAACAAAGCTCTGTAGCCAAAACAATGCTATACATGGGGCCACAGAGTTACTACTGCCCAACCGTGAATCAATCATGTCAGCAACATCCACTCCTAGACCACATATACACACCAGAAATAAAACTTGTCTTTAAAGT